ACGAGCACGCACGGCGTAGGTGAGAAGGCGTGGGCGTCTCTAGGCGACGACCTCAGGTGAATGCGGTGATTGCAGGATCCGGCGATTTTAGGCCAAACAGGGGCTTGCAGGATCCTCAGCGACTTCAGACAGGACAGAGGCCTGCAGAATCCGGTGACTTCAGGCGGGACAGAGATTTGCAGGTTCCGGTGACTTCAGGCGGGACAGAGGTTTGCAGGTTCCGGCGACTCCAGGCAGAGCAGAGACTTGTAGGATCCCGGCGACTTCAGGCAGAGCAAAGGCTTGTAGGATCCGGCGACTTCAGGTAGAGCAGAGGTTCGTAGAGTCCAGTGGCTTCAGGCAGGACAGAGGCTTGCAGGATAAGGCCTTTAGGAGATGCTTCGAACTCGAGAACTGGAGCGAGACTGAATTTCTTCACCGATTGTTCGGCTTTTATACCTTTCTAGAGAGAACGGAAAAATTATTTAAATTAAACGCAAATTTTTTGTAAATGGTCAAGAGGAAAGAGTATTTATGTAGAATTATCGAAATAGAAACAACAGACCGGTAGCAAATTTGAATATAATTGTCATAGCGACCAAATAAATAACGATGTCAAAACATGTCAAATTTTGGTTTTAGGCTTGTAATAGAAAAACGGCAAGATTTAAGTGAAAAATGAGATATTATTGATATAGGAAAAAAGGTAGCGCAACTGCACGCACAAAGCCCGAAATTGCAGAGTTACGGAAAACTAAATAAAAGATCGAAAAAAGGTAGACTCCATTGACACCAATTTAAAAGTGCTGATAATGTGAAAATACGAAGTAGAAATGATTTGTTATTGTGTTCTTATGGTTTAAAATCGTTACAGGATCCTATGGAAATAAAGGTGATGTAAAATATCCAGTTTTGAGGTGAATGCAGAAAATCGAAACAGAATGGAAAAATGAATTTAAAATAATGTAAAATGATAAGTAAGTAGCATAACACTACATTTTCCCCCCGACCCTGGAAAATTTTTGACTCAGCAAAAATTTTGATATATACATTCTAAAATAAACCATAAAAACACAGCTTTGCAGAAACAGACATCACCAGGCAAAATCAGATATACTATCTCTTACATTCATCATCTGCATTCAGGTAAGGGTTTTTTTTTTGCGGATGGAAAATCATCAAATGACGCCTTTCGCTCTGGGTGGAGCGGAAGGGAGTGTCAGACTTTTACTGACTAAAAACCATCCGTGTTCCTTCAGTGCCCTTACGTTCCGGAGCCGCGGTATCTCTTTCGAACAGCCCGCAGCCCCGGCAGGCGTCGGCCCTTGCGGGCCCCTTCACGCTGCTGACAGCTCTTTGAGGCGCGCGTGGAACAAAACGCGCCGTCGATACGGCCTGTCGTCGTTAGACGGACGGACGGCGAGCTACCCATTGCTCGCCGTCCACAGGCCCGCGCCTACGGTGGCCGGGGGCCACGACGTAGCCCTCGACGCCCGGGGCGTCTCCCGCGGCGGCCGGGAAGGAAAGCTGCTGCTCTCTCCTTCTCCCGCTCCGCCACCTCCTTCGCTAGCATCACTGCTTCGCAGAAGGTGGTGACGGCATCCCATTCCGTCTCGCTCCGGACCATGGCTTCGACCAGGGCCAGACGCGAGAGGTCGCCGCCGCCTATCGCCGCTACGTGGACACGGCGATGCTCCGCCCAGGCAGGGCACACCTCCACGGTGTGCTCCACCGTGTCCTCCGGTCGATCCTCGCAGTGGGAGCACCCGGGCGTTTCCTCCCGCCCGATTCGTTGCAGGAACCTCCCGAACACACCGTGTCCGGTGAGGACCTGCGTCAGGCGGAAGGTGAGGACGCCGTGGCGTCTCTCAAGCCACTCCTCAAAGAGGGGTCTTATCGCCGCTATAGTGGCGTGCCCAGCACGGGGTTGCGACAGTCGCTCTCTCCATGTCGCCATGAGATCATGCCGGAAGTCTGTCCGCTGCACGACAACTTGCCGCGGCAGCGGGGTTTCCCCCCGGCATAGTGCCTCCGCGCGCCATTCGTGCAGGTGCATTCAGGTAAGGGTGGAGTTCACATTCAATGACTACCACTCTAAAAGTGTGTTTTCGAAAGGACATTCAGGCTTATTTAAGGAGTTGTCATCCGCTCCTGCGTGGAAAAAAAATTATTAAGGGAGTAGTCAACCGCTCCAAAGTGAAGATAAAGATAAAGAAATACCTCAAGTAAGCTTTAGTCGCTATGACTTAAGTAAAGATTAAGAACGGCCAGAGCGGTAGGGCTCAAAGCCAGAGATCAGCAACACCACCAACGAGATGTGTCTGAAATAAAAATAAAAAGTGAAGATTAACCAACGAAAGTTCGAGGTCCTAAAGCAAGATGTGTTGAAGAACACTGGATCATCAAACAAACAAACAAATTAAAAGAAATAAAAATACTCGTAATAAGGTGAGAATGATGGTGATATTTATACATATATACAAATTAACAGTTAGTAAAAGTTAAGAAAATTTATGATTTTACATCTTTGATGTGCCACTTGCCTCTAACTCCATTAGGGTCTTCAAGCACATAGACTAGTGGTGACAGTTTAGCTATCACTTTGCACTTGATGAACTTAGGGGCAAGTTTAGCATTAAAGTATGCGCCGGCATTGCTTAAAACATGGTTTTTACGCCAAACAGTATCTCCCACATTAAATTCTTTAAAAGACCGGTGAAGATCATAGCGTGCGCTATTTTTAGCGTGCGCTATGTGAAGCTTAGTTTGAACTTTGTGAAAGATAGATGAGAGGAGACCAGCATTAGACGCGTAAATATCACGAGGCATAAATATCAATTCCTCGAAGTTCTGAGTTGGAGTATAGAAGGAACCACAAGGTATTGTTTCCCTACCAAAGACTAAAAAGTTTGGGGTAAAGCCAGTAGCTACATTTGTAGCGCTGTTCATTGCGTACTGAATCTTAGTAAGATGGTTGTCCCAGGATCTATGATCGTCTCCTACTAGAGATGCTAGAGCTGTAATAATTGTACTATTAAACTTCTCCGTAGGATTAACCTGAGGACAATATAAAGCTGTGTGAAATATAAAAGGAACGTTATAAGAATTTAAGAATGAGTGGAATTCTCGCGACTGAAATTGAACAGCATTGTCCATTATAATAGCTTGGGGAATGCCATGAACTAGAAAAACTGAATTTTCCAAAACATTAATAATATTAGCTGAAGTAGCACGTTTAAGGGGAAAATCATAGTATATTTAGTAAAATTGCAGTTAATTACTAGAATATACTGATTTCGTCTTCGAGTCATAGGCAATGGACCCATAAGATCTAAGGATATAGTTTGAAAAGGTCTGGAGCAAAGTTTAGGTTTACCCATAAGACCATAGGGAGAATGATTAGGGTGTTTGTAGATTAAGCAGGTTTCACAAGTTGAGATTAAATTGGCAATGTCCTTAAACATACCAGGCCAATAGTATTTTAAAGATATTTTCTTGAATGTCTTGAAGATACCAAGATGGAGTTCTGAAGGGGAACCATGGTTAACTTCAATAATTGCATGTCTATCTTGAGTTAGTGGATTCCAAATAAAATCATCGTTTAGACGATCGGGAGAATGGATGCAGCGGTAAAGTTTGTTATCCCTGATAGTGTAGTTGGGATATGCGTCTGGGTTGTTGGAGCATCCGAGAAAAATCTTGTTGTAGTGCTCAAGTTAACGATCAGGTGGTTCTTCAATCGTAATAGGATGTACGACTTGAGGTGAAATTTCTCGTGTATCAGGACGTTCTTGATTCTTATGTCTTGATAATAAATCTGGAACAACGTTATCCTTTCCTTTTTTATGTTTCAGGACAAAGTTAAAGCATGATAAGCGTAAAGTCCAGCGAGCAAGTCTTCCTGATGGATTCGATAAGTTCTGAAGCCATTTAAGTGCAGCATGGTCAGTATATATTGTAAATTCTTTACCATTGTCTAGGTAACATCGCCAATTTTCTAACGCAGTTATTACAGCCAATGTTTCTCTTTCAGTAGTTGAGTAGTTCTGTTGATTTTTGTTTAGTGCTTTACTCATGTAAGCAATCACGACTTCTTTGTCATCTTGATGTTGAGTAAGCATTGCTCCTATGCCATAGTTTGATGCATCACAATGTACAGAGAAGGGTAGTTCGAAGTTAGGGCAAGCAAGGACAGGAGCAGTTACCAAAGCTTCTTTAAGTTTCTGGAAAGCAGCTGCAGCTTGTGAATTCCATAAAAATTTAGGAGCGTTCTTCCCGGAACAGGTTAGTTGGTTTAGTGGAGAGGCAATAGTGCTAAAGTTTGGAATGAATCTTCTGAACCAGCTGCAGGTGCCTATGAATCTTCGCACTTCTTTTCTACAAGTAGGTACAGGATATTCTAAAATAGCTTTTATTTTATCTGGATCAGCACGTAGACCATACTCGTTCACTAGAAAACCAAGGTATTTCAGTTCTTTCCTGAAGAATTGACTCTTCTCAAAGTTAATAGTCGAATTAGCATATGAAAGTTTTTCATGAACTTTCATGAGAAGTGATATGTGTTCATCAAAAGTCTCGCTAATAATAACGATGTCATCCAGATAGCAAAACACCTTATTCTCAAATTCAGGAGTAAAAAGCATATCCATTAATCTTTGTAGAGTTGCAGGTGAGTTAGGAAGACCAAAAGGCATTACCTTGAATCTAAACATACCTCTTCCAGGTACATAAAATGCAGTTTTATCTTTATCAGCAGGATTCAAGGGAATCTCCCAAAATGCTTTCGCAATGTCGATGCTTGATAAGTATTTGGCATTCCTCAAGTTGTCCAAAATTTCGCTTATTAGTGGCAGACTATAAGCATCACGACGTGTAACTGAGTTAAGCTTCCTGCTGTCTACGCAGAAACGCCATTCACCATTCTTCTTCGGAGTGATGAGAACTGGAGATAACCAAGGACTTTCGCATTGTTCAATGACGTTCCATCGCAGCATCTTGTCAACTTCATTAATTAACGCCTTTTATTTTACAGGAGACAGTCTGTAACATCTTTGTTTGATTGGAAGAGAATCACCAGTGTCAATCTTGTGGGTAATTAAGTGTGTGCTTCCCAGGATACCTTTTTCTTCAAAAGAAATTGTCTTGAAGCGTTGGATGATGTCATTAGCGATGTTGTTTTGATTAGGAGTTAAATGCTCATAAGGTAAAACTTTAGTATCTTTAGTTTCGATAGCAGAGCATTTAGATTCTGTAAAGTTAAGAGAAGATAAAACACTAGGTAAAAGATTAAATTTTTTCCAAAAGTCAATACCTAGTATTAGCGAAGGAAATATTTCAGGGAAAACGTAAGCTTTAATTAAATGAGTTTGATTATTGAAATGAACAGGTAAGTCAAAATAACCCAAGGAATTAACTTTTTCATTATTAGCAGTAGAGACAGTAATAAGATCTGACTTGAAAAGTTTGCAGCCCAGTTTAAGAATTTCCAAATAAGAATTATTACCCAGAATAGTTACTAAACTGCCAGAATCTAGTAAACCAGATAAAGTTAAGTTATAAATTTTGACATTAACGAATGGACGATTAAGATCTTGTTCCTTGGAGTAGAGTGTAGAAGAGATTTTGTAATAAGAAAAGAAGATTTGAATTGTTTTAATCCAATTAGTCCAATCGTCATTATCAAAGTTTAAGTTACTTTTCAAGTCAGCAGTTAGTTTTTTTGAACTAGTATTGGGTTTGGGAGAACAAGTAGGGCAATCTGCAGTTTTAAAACCCTTAAGACCACATTTGAAACAAATCACGAATCGTGGTTGAGTACAGGTGTTCAAAGAATGACCTTGTTTACGACAGCGAACACAAAAGGAGCTTTCTTGAGGAGCTTTAGTTTGAGAGAGACTATTAACTTGTCTAGAAGGGTATTTGTAGGATGAAGTGAATTTATTAATGAGGAGAGGAGAAGGTCGTGAGTTATTAGAAGAATTTGGAGAGTCAACTGAACTTGAAGTGGAATGCTTGTAGTTGAATTCAGAAATAAGAGGACTTTGTTGTACATTTGGTTCTTTAAATTGTTTGTCTCTGTCTAGGAATTTTTCATAGTTTTGGCAAGTAGCCAGAAGAAAGTCTATAGAGTCAATGTCTTTTAGAGCTACGAAGACTGAATAACATGGGCGAATATTCCTTAAAATAATCTCCAATTGTTCTGTTTCAGAAAGTTTCTTCGAAAGACGAGAAAACATTCCAGACATGATGGAAATATAGATGACAATAGGTTCATCTCGACCTTGAGTTCGATTCCTAATCGCTTCTAAAAGTTTGTAATCATAATCAAAACCACCAAAGTCTTTGATTAATAACGAAGAAAGTTCGTTCCACGTTAAGTTTGGATTCTGATTATATTTAAATCTGAACCAATGAAGAGCATTGTCAGTGAAAATTTCGAACGCTTGAGAAATCAACAAGTCTTTGGACAAGCCACGAGCTAAGCAGTATTCTTGAAGTTTTTGAAGAAAGTATCTTGGACAGCTTTTACCATTGAAGGTGTGTCTTTTCAGATCTTTGAAGACGTTATTTGGAGAAAAAGATTGAGGTGGTGGTGAAGAATACGGGGTATGGACCTGAACAGAAGTTTGAGAAACAAGAGGGAGTTCCATGACAGTCGGGTCAACAGGAGGGTCAAGTGATGGAGGGTCATTTTCAGTTGGAGCTGGAGTCAAGGATTCAAATTGTTTAGTAATATCGTCATATTTCATCTTCAAAGTATCGAAAATAGCTTTAAAGTCTGGATATAAGTCAGTATCTATTCGTTCCAATCTGTAAAAGACATGATTAATAAAAGTTTCTATTAGTCGCAAGTATTTGGTTTCGCCTTGTAAAAATTTTTTAATTTTACAGTCCAAGTAGGTCAAAGTAGAATCAATTTGAGACAAGTCATCCTCAATCGGAATTGGAGAAGTCAGAATATCTTCAGGGTGAGAATTCTCAACTAAACGCAAAACCTGTTTTTTTAGAAGTAATACAGTATTAGCTGGTTCCTCACATCTAATCTTCACTTCGTATTCAAGTTCGGTCTTGTTAAGGAATTCGTACTTAATAAACCTTTTCATTGTTATAATTAAGTGTAAAGTTAAGTTAAAGAAATAAAAATTTAATTAAAAATTATACCTCTTTAAGTTATCTAGAATAAAAATATTAAAGTGATGAATGTAAGTGAAGTGTTAAATGTAGGTCTAAATATAAGCCAGATAAATTGAAACACTAGATGAAGTGTTGTTTTAGAATTTGGAAGGTATGAAAAGGATGAATAAATAAAGAGTTAAGAACGAAAGAGGAAGCAATTAAATCAAAAGGAATGGACAAGGCGCAGTAAAGGTGAGGAAAAGAGAAAGAGAACTTTTACGTTGGGCGTCAAAATGTCGTGAAGCGACAATTAAAAATAAAAGAATCTATCCTAACAGCAACAAAACAACAAAAATACTACAAAAACAAATACTATATTTAAGATTTAAGAGATATTTACAATTTTATATAGTAAAATGGGGTATGAAGATAAGGATGGATGTCGTGATTTACAAATTTTAAAAAAAAAAAGGTAATAAAAAAAAGGATTAGAGTCGAAGTTGAGTCTGAAGATCCAAAGTGTGCTCTCAGCGCCTGGAACGAGCACGCACGGCGTAGGTGAGAAGGCGTGGGCGTCTCTAGGCGACGACCTCAGGTGAATGCGGTGATTGCAGGATCCGGCGATTTCAGGCCAAACAGGGGCTTGCAGGATCCTCAGCGACTTCAGACAGGACAGAGGCCTGCAGGATCCGGTGACTTCAGGCGGGACAGAGATTTGCAGGTTCCGGTGACTTCAGGCGGGACAGAGGTTTGCAGGTTCCGGCGACTCCAGGCAGAGCAGAGACTTGTAGGATCCCGGCGACTTCAGGCAGAGCAAAGGCTTGTAGGATCCGGCAACTTCAGGTAGAGCAGAGGTTCGTAGAGTCCAGTGGCTTCAGGCAGGACAGAGGCTTGCAGGATAAGGCCTTTAGGAGATGCTTCGAACTCGAGAACTGGAGCGAGACTGAATTTCTTCACCGATTGTTCGGCTTTTATACCTTTCTAGAGAGAACGGAAAAATTATTTAAATTAAACGCAAATTTTTTGTAAATGGTCAAGAGGAAAGAGTATTTATGTAGAATTATCGAAATAGAAACAACAGACCGGTAGCAAATTTGAATATAATTGTCATAGCGACCAAATAAATAACGATGTCAAAACATGTCAAATTTTGGTTTTAGGCTTGTAATAGAAAAACGGCAAGATTTAAGTGAAAAATGAGATATTATTGATATAGGAAAAAAGGTAGCGCAACTGCACGCACAAAGCCCGAAATTGCAGAGTTACGGAAAACTAAATAAAAGATCGAAAAAAGGTAGACTCCATTGACACCAATTTAAAAGTGCTGATAATGTGAAAATACGAAGTAGAAATGATTTGTTATTGTGTTCTTATGGTTTAAAATCGTTACAGGATCCTATGGAAATAAAGGTGATGTAAAATATCCAGTTTTGAGGTGAATGCAGAAAATCGAAACAGAATGGAAAAATGAATTTAAAATAATGTAAAATGATAAGTAAGTAGCATAACACTACAAGGGTTTGTAATGAAGAGGATTTAACTTTACGGTTGAAGGTAAGTTTATCTCATAATATTGTTACGAGCTTGGGGTTCGAGACAATTAAAAACTGCCGATTTCCTAAATTGACACTTAAATTTCAAAAAAAAATTAAAGTGTCAATTTTGGCAACTTAAAAACACAATTGTACTACTGTTCACTTTAGTTCTATGTCTCTCAAAAGGATGTGTATTCACACTGACATATGACACTTCGAAGTATTCGCTTATATCGCCAATCCAATACTCTCCCCGGTCGTGGTCTATACCGGCCTTATATAGGGCCTCAGATAGTTTCCAGAAACTTCTACTGTAGCGACATCTATAATGTTCGATTACATATCAGTCCCGAAATTTCTAGAAGGATCTTGACTCTCCTAGTTCTGCTACTCGACACTATAGGGCGCTAGTGGTAACTAGTGTTGCCATGTACAAGCCAATACTAGTGGCGCGCAACAATATAATACACAAGACTCAGAGTTATGATTTGCTCCTTTAAATGTTTTGTAAATAGCAAAGTTTACTCTTGTGGCAAAGTTGCCCTCCGATTTTTCAATATTTCGTACAAACTTGAAAATATGTGTCAGGGTTGTCAAAAAATTGGGAGTGTGTCGACGAGGGTTGCGTACCTTTTACTCAGAATCACCAAACGGTATTCGCTGAAGGTCATACAGGTTTACGCACCAACCTCGGCACAGCCCGTGGAGGAAATGTATGAGGATATCTCTAGAGCCATGCATTCCTCCAAAACCCAATATACGGTGTTAATGGGAGACTTCAATGGAAACCCAGGCACAAGAGAGAACGGTGAGCTGAAAGTAGGGAAATTTAGAATAAGGCAACGGAACCCAAGGGCTTTTCTTTTCCAGCAGCTGGCCGACTTCATGGAGAAAAAGGGACTCTTTATGATGAACTCCTTCTTCCAGAAGCGGCCCCACAAGACTTGGACCTGGTCGAGCCCCGACGGTTCGACCAAAAATGAAATTGACTTCGTTATGACGACCAGACGACAACTGTTCAGTGATGTCTCAGTGATCGCGAGGGTGAAAACCGGCAGCGATCACCGAATGGTGAGAGGCACACTGAACCTAAACGTTAAGTTGGAGAGGTCACGTCTAATGAATTCAACGCTCCGTCCCCCTCGTGCTCTAATCCAAAGTCCCGAAACCTTTCAGCTCGAGCTACGAAACCGTTTTCAGTGCCTAGAAGATTGCAATGCAGTGGACGATATGAATGACAAGCTCGTGGAAACTGTCCATGCGGTCGGAGTTAAGTTCTGCAAGACCCGCCGCAGAAGAACACAAAAACTCTCCGATCACACTCTTAACCTCATGGCTGTTACGGGATATGAAGCTGCAGTCTTCAGTAGATTTGGCAGCATACAGGTAACATAACAGACACATCTCCAAATGCATGCGGCGGGACTTACGCAACTTTAATACTACTCGTATTAAAGAAGCGATGGAGCGGAACCAGGTCTCCAAAGTCTTTGCTAGATATCTGTTTGCCAAAAAGAGCCAACTGTGGAAGCTGAAGACCGAGTCTAGCAGCGTCGTTTCCGGGACACCTGTGATTTTGAGTGAGATTGAGAGGTTCTATGGGCAGCTGTACACATGATTGTTGGAGCCACACGTAAGTGTGAGTAAGATCAAATAGCGAGTCTTATCCGACACTATTCCGATCATACCCTGGACGTCAGTCTGAGTGAGATTAGAATAGCTCTCCAGCACCTTAAAAACGGCAAGGCCCCAGGCAATGATGGAATTACAGCGGAGCTTCTGAAAGCGGGTGGAAAACCGGTACATGAAGTCCTTCAGAAGCTCTTTAATTCCGTCCTCCATGGTATCATTACATCGGAGGCGTGAAGCAGAAGTGCGGTGGTCTTGTTCTTCAAGAAAAGTGACAATGTTTTCTTGAAGAACTACACACCGATTTCCCTTCTGAGCCGCGTCTACGTGCTGTTTTCGAGAGTCATAACGGATCGTCTCGCGCGCAGACTTGACGACTTCCAGCCTCCCGAACAAGCCGGTTTCTGAAAACGCTTCAGCACCACAGACCACATACATACCCTTCGGCAAATTGTACAGAAGTCTGAGGACTACAATCTGCCACTATGTCTGGCGTATGTGGACTATGAGAAATCCTTTGATTCCGTCGAAATTTGGGCGCTGCTGCAGTCCCTTCAGCGATGCCAAGTTGATTGTCGGTATATCGAAGTGCTGAAGTGCTTGTACAGTAGCGCTACGATGGTTATCCGAGTACAGAACCAGAGCACGAAACTTATCCAATTGCAGAGAGGTGTAAGACAGGGTGACGTTATATCCCCGAAACTCTTCACCGCTGCATTGGAAGACGTTTTCAAGCTTCTGGATTGAAAAGGATACGGTATTAACATCAATGGCGAGTAAATCACTCACCTTCGATTTGCCGACGATATAGTACTTATGGCAGAATTGCTAGAGGACCTAAGCACTATGCTCAATGACCTCAATAGTGTCTCCCAACGGCTAGGTCTTAAGATGAACATGGACAAAACAAAGATCATGTTTAATGTCCATGTCACACCTATGCCGGAAGTTATTGGGAGCACTAAGCTCGAAGTTGTTGACGAGTATGTTTACCTGAGACAAATAGTCCTACTAGGTAAGTCCAACTTCGACCGAAAGGTCAATCGACGGATTCAACTCGGTTGGGCAGCGTTCGAGAAATTACGGCACATCTTCTCGTCAGGTATACCTCAAAACTTGAAAACGAGACTGAACAACCAGTGCGTTTTGCCAGTGATGACCTATGGAACTGAGACGTGGTCCTTCACTGCTGGCCGGATGAGGAAGCTCAAAGTCGCACAGCGAGCTATGCAAAGGGCTATGCTCGGAGTTTCTCTGCGTGATAAACTTAGAAATGGGGATATCCGCAGTAGAAACAGAGTGAATGCCATAGCCCAATGGATTAGTCAGCTGAAGTGGCAATGCGCCGACCATATAGCTCGAAGAACTGGCAACCGATGGGGAAAAAAGATTTTATCTATTATTGACCAGCGCCTTTTAATTTTTTCTTCTGACCGTCCAAGAAGAAGAAGAATCAATTATTTTTGAAATATTGCTTCAAATAGCTCTTGATAGAAATTCTTTACGATCATCTTAGAAAGAATAAACTTTTTCTCCTATAACTAAATTAAAGTCGAAAAATGCAGCCCATACATTGTAAACACGAGGAATTATTCGAATTCCTCGTGTTTGCAATGTATGGCCTGCATTATTTAGCTACGAGTATGCCAGATTTTACTCATCTACGTCAAATAATTTAAGAATAGCCTCTTTTTCAAACAGATGGACAGAGACCGAGAGACAGAGATGAAAGCAGACAGACATAGACCTACGTCTAATAATTATTAATAGTTCCGTTTTGCTAAATTGTGCACTAACCATTCTAAATTACATTTTAACTACAT